AAAACCAAATTAAAATTCTGCATAATTGTCTTTTCTCCCACACTATTTACATTTGATCACATTTGCACTTTATGGAATGTAAATGTTCTGAAAGCTGTACAAAAAATGAATTTTTTTTTTGTATACACTCTGTGTATACAAAAATACAATAAAAGTTGTCTAAGTCTAAGTCCAACAGCAGGGGTCACCAAACTTTCTAAGGTCAAGGGCTAATTCATGGGTACTGAGTCATAGAAGGGCTACCAATGTTGACCTATGAACTGGAGGATTCAGCATTCACCTTAATTTCATAAATAATAAGCAGATTTTAATTGTTTCTTTTAACTCATGAAATGATAAATTACTTTACAAATTATTAAAAAAAAAGGACAACAGAAAAAAATAAAATTTAGATCTTATCCCACTGGTAAGTTGTGCTGTTTTTAGAAGATGCTAAGGGCATCCCATGAGGCCCCTTAGTGCATTTGAAGGGATTTCAAAATGAAATTATCTAAAAGAATTTTTTAAAATAAAAGACACAATAAAATATGTTTAGTATGTATGAAGTTGAGGTGAATGCTGTCTCCTCCAGTTCATTGGTCAGTATTGGTAGCACATCCTATGACTCAGTACCCATGAGGTATCTTTAAGCCTTAAAAAGGCTGGTGACCCCTTCTCTAGGTTATGTTACAGTTGCGGTAGGCCAACACAAAAACATTTCAAAACAGTAGCCCAGTTTGAGCTGAAGAGGGTGCCAAGAAGACAGTTTAGACACGGTTTCTGCAGATTGGATGTAAATACATTAATCAACTAGTGAAAGATCGGTTTGGGACAGAGAGACAACTTTATTTATACAGCACATTTCATGCACAAGGCAACTTAATGCGCTTCAGAGCAACATCAACAATAACACAAAAAAACAAATTCAATCAATACTAATATATATAAAAAATACATACTATATATTAAAACCAATTAAAATGCAATCAATCACCACAGGCACTAAATAGGCATGTTTTCAACCTGGACTTAAACATAGTCAGGACTGAGCCTTTTTTTACATCCTCACTGAACTGCGCCAGACCTTAGCTGCATGAAATTGAAACACAGCCTCACCATGCTCCCTAGGGATCTCAAGGCTCAAGGTGGTTAATATGGCTCTATGTCAGAGATGTACTTTGGTGCTAAACCACAAGAAGACTTGTACACGAGTCAAACTGTTTTAGAATCTATTCTCTGAGCCACAGGAAGTTAGTGCAGAGACCGGAGAACTGGACTAATATGGTCGCATTTCCTGGTTCTGGTGGGGATTCGAGCAGCAGCCTTTTGGATAAACTGCCGTTGTCCAACAGGTCATTTAGAAAGGTCAGTGAACAGGAGAAATATAAAGGACCAGACTTACAAAGAAGGGGATTGGATCCCTTGTGTAAATAGTTGCAGCTCTAGTTGTCTGCTGGAGTTTGTGCAACAGCTGGGATTCTCCAAGGCCTTTGAAAGTTTCCAGGGGTAAATCAACAATAAGGATGACCGAGAGATTAACATTGGGAGTAAATCTTCTGCAGTTAGAAGTAAACTGATTTTATTAGAGGTAAAACTGTCAGAGCAGGTTCTAAAACGTTTGTGTTTAGATTCCCTCTGAACAGTACACTGCTGTACACCCATTACTCTTTCACAATGCAACATACATTTAGCCAAAAAAAGAAAATCGGTACTATTATTATTTGGTAGGATTATCAAACATTCATGTCATTCAGGGCAAAGAAATTATTTTTATCTCTGTAGATGAACATTCATTACCCATCTATGTAAATCGTTAACATGCAATGTATCTATATATCTATCCATCTAAATTAGCTCTAGTTGGCTGGCATCCCATCTACTGAAATGATGGAATACTGATGCTCCCGTCTTCTTTTCAAAAACCTGCAGAAAGAAAAAGGATAACAAGAGTTGTGTCATGATTAATTGTTTAAGGAATCTGACCGATATGCAGAGAAAACCACTCAGAGAACACTGGGAAAAGTTTAACAGGTTTATTTGATGTAACGTATACAGAAGTAGGATCTGGAACTCAGTGGACTGGTGAACCGGAACTGAAAAGTCTGATGGGGAGATCACAGAGTTCAGTTCAGGGACCGTAGGAAATTTGACTGCGGCTTGGATAATGCTGGAGAGGGACTCACGTTTGAGGCGGCTCTTGTCAATCCTTGAATCCAGTCTGTGTGGGGGTAATACAGAGAAGGGGGCAACTCATTGGAGGGCGGACAGGTAGACATTCGTTGGACCCAGAGGAGTAATGGAGCGAATTGTCACTTGGATTCCGATGGGAACTTGAACGGATCATGTGGAGGTTTGCCCCTGCTCAGTGTATTCTCAGTGATTCCGTCCAGGGGGAGAAGGTCCAGGCAAAAAGTTTTCACGGGAAGGCTTCCTTTCGAAGAGCAAAGACAAAAACACATTAAACTCAGAGAAACAAAGCTAGATTAGACTCTGCTAATCTCACCTTGGCTAGAGTACCCAAAACTGGCAAACACTCTAGCGTTGAGGTAGTGACAGCTCACTGCTAAAATACTCCTCAAGTAATGAACCAACGAGCCGCAGGTATGCAGGGAGGCACAACGAGGACAGGGCACCACCTGGTGGTGGAGAAAGAAAAACACAAAAACAACCCACACAAGCTGGACTCCTAACAAGTTGTGTTTTAAAATCCAAGCCAGGGGGGTCATTTTGATTTAACTGTTTGGAGCAGAGAAACCTCAAAGCTGCATATTTTCTTTCAGGCTTGAACTCTACAGTAGGTCTCCAGAGAAGCCGAGGCAGCTCGCCTGTTTCTTGAAATGCTGCAGCTCAGACCCCGTCAGGGTCTGTCCTCTGCCTGGATGCCAAGTAAAGAAAACCCAGCTGGCATTTGACTGACCTTAAAGGTTGTTTTAGGTCTCAACTTGTTGAAAAAATGTCAGTTTAAGAATAACATTGATTCAACATCAAAACGTTGAACACAAAGCAGTTGAAATTGTGTTAACTCATCGTTGATTCTGGTTGAATATCAACAATTTTTGATATGATACATAAAGATGTATGTCTAATAAACATTATTTTTACTATTATTATTTTTACTTTTTAGTATTGATTTAATGTTGGTAAAATCACCCATGTTGAGAAACATGACATGGATATGATGTTGCTATTTCAACGGTGACTACATTTGCAAAATCTAACCAAAATTCAGCTGTTAGCCATCACAACCAACTGCCAAGGAAAAAAGCAGTCCAAAGGGAGCTGGTTGTGGTAATTTTGTGGATGTGTAATTTTAGTAAAAATAGACTGTTTGACACCTGAGGAAGGCATTCAAAATGATGGATTTCTCTTCAACGTTTAATATGTTAGTGAAAATCTTGGACACATTTCTGGTGTCTATAATAAGAAATGTGTCCAAATTCTGCTTTTGTTTTACAAATTTGAACAAGGTCGTCCTCTTCAATTTCAAACCTTCATGTCCAAATGACTGCCTTTTTTTAAAACGGATTTAAAGGTAGTAAGAAAAAACTAAACATTTTTTGAAGAGAAATCTAATAGTTTGGATGAATATTAGTAAATATCCATGTCTATAATATACGTATAAATATATAAACACGCCTCTTTTTCTTATCTACAGTGAGGAAAATAAGTATTTACTAACTTGCAAGTTCCCCCACTTAGAAAAAGTGTTGCACTGATACTGATACCGATATCGGACGGGGCCCCTATACTGCACTAAAATGGTTGTATTGGTATCGGCGAGTACCAACAAATAAGGCACCAATACCATTTGAGAGCCAAAAGTTTATTCAACTGATGTCACCCAAAAAAAAATACAGAAATCACAATGTATGAGTTTTTTTAACCATTTATTTGTATGATATAGCTGCAAATAAGTATTTGAACACCTAAGAAAATCATTGTTAATATTTGGCCCACTCCTCCACATAGATCTTGTCTAGATTAGTCAGGTTTCTGTGTACACCCCAAAGCATGATGCTACCACCCCTTTGCTGCACAGTAGAGATCGTGTTCTTGGGATGGTACATCATTCTTCTTTCTCCAAACACTGTTAGTGGAATTATGACCAAAAAGTTATAGTATTTTGGTCTCATCTGACCACATGACTTTCTCCCATGACTCCTCTGGATCATCCGAATGGCCATTGGCAAACTTAAGATGAGTCTTCACACATGCTGGTTTAAGCAGGGGAACCTTCTGTGCCATGCATGATTTCAAACCATGATGTCAGTGTATTAGCAACAGTTACCATGGAAAAGGTTGTCTATGCTCTTTTCAGGTTATTGACCAGCTCCTCCAGTGTAGTCCTGGGCTGATTTCTCTTTCTTAGGATCATTGAGACCCCATGAAGTGACATCTAGCATGGAGCCCCAGTCCGAGGGAGATTGACAGTCATGTTTAGCTTCCTCCATTTTCTAACGATTGCTTCAAAAGTGGACCTTTTTTAGGCAAGCTCCTTGGCAATTTCCCCGGAGCCATTTCCTACTGATTGTATGGGATGGACTGGTTTCTGTATGCTGCTAATTCCCCTCAAACAGGTGCATTAGGATAATAAATGGAGTGTAGGTTGACATTTTGAAGGCAGACTAACAGGACTTTGAGGGTTAGAATTCTAACTGATAGGTGTCCAAATACTTATTTGCAGCTGTATTATACAAATAAACAGTTAAGAGAAAACCATATATTGTGATTTCTGACTATTTCAGATCCCGCCATAATTTTTAATTGGGAGAACTTGCAAAATAGTAGGATGTTCAAATACATATTTTCCTCACTGTATGGGAAAAAATCTCACCCCTTTACACAAGCTTTTTGTTTTAGAGTCTGTTTCTTGGAGTTTTGGAGTTTCTTTTTAGTCTAATTTACCCTGTATAATTAGCCGTAAAAAAAAAAAAAATATATAGTGTTTTTATTGACTTAAAATTGACGGAATTTGGCGGGGATGAGGGGAGAGGTTGCAACACAAAGACTCAGTTTTATTATTTTCTCTCATAAAGGAAAGGTTTTATTGAGACAACTTTTAGTCAAACTGTAAATTAGGCATAGGTGGACAGCATCCCATCTACTGAGGTGATGGCATCTCGATGCACTCCTCTTCTTTGCAAAAACCTGCAGAAAGACACCGGAGTAAAATTAGTTTTGTTCTATAGTCTATGCTGAGGAGTTCATTGTGATTTAGCAGTTGGAGCAGATAAAAGCCACATACTTATGTCAGGATTGTAGAGATAGTCTAGTTCTCCAGAGAAGCCAAGGCAGCTTGCCTGCTTCTTAAAATGCTCCATTTCAGACTCTGTCACAGACTGTCCTTTGCCTGAATGCAAAATACAGAAAATGGCCAAAATTGTGCTGTTGAAGCAAACCAAAAGAGTTTGAGTTTGAGATCAATTTCTTCAAACCTTGAAGTAACAGAGCACGAGCAGTGTTTGCAACAGGCATGTCTGCGTCACTGGGTTGTATCATCTTAAGGAGGAATCCGAAGTCTGGCATAGTTGTTTTCATGAGGAAGACGATACAGCTGTCACAGCTTGGGAGCAGGTACACCTCAGAGGTCCCGTGTTGATCTGGATATTTACAGAGAGAAAAAAAAGGAAAAATATAAATTATATAACTGACTGGAAACTTTCAAAATTACTCAAAAAAATCTACACATATGACCATATAAATAAAAAGAATCGGAAGAAGATTTTTTTAGAATAGAAAAGAGCTTTTCAAAGAGTGTAAATAAGAACATTTTAACTTTTCAGTGGGAAGAAAAACAAAGCTGTCCAGCAAAAATAAGTTTGGTCCTTTAAGATTTTATCCGATAAGGACACCTACTTCCGGATGTCATGGCGTTTCCCTCTATCTTCGCTTTTGTGGTGGCTTTGACGCAGGTTCCATTCCTGGGTTAATTATAAAAATAAAAAGGTGAATTTATGACAATTTAGAGCAGATTATAGTAATGTATACAACTAAGTGGAATGCATTTTAAAAAGCTTTTGAGTTTATCTGATGGCATCTTTAAAGATCCATATGACCAGAGTTAGATCCTGAAATTCAAATTTGCTTAATAAAAATAAACCTAAACAAAATACATAGATGAAGAGCAAGTGTCTGATTAATTCTAAGGTAACGTCAAAGTGTAATTTACCCTCAAATCAACTTTTTTGCAGTTAAGCTGTTTAACCTGGAGCATTTGGGTGACATTCTATTGTCTCTCTTCATTTTTTAAATTTAATATGAACTTGGTTATGGTCAAGTCCTTGTCCACATTGCCGGCAGTAAGTCATGCTCGATTCCAGGGAGACCTGGACTCAGCTAATGTTGCCCTTTGTAAACGATTCTTTTCATAACTTTAATGGACAGAATTTCTAGGATCAGCCAAGGTGTTGAGGGGATGCGTATTCACGGATGACGTGGTTCTATTAGCTTCATCAGGGCGTGATCTACAGCTCTCAGGGAGAGGAAGCAGGTGGGAATTTAGGAAATTTGGGGCCCTAGGCAAAGACAGGCATGGGGCCCTTTGAAATGGGAAGACAACACATAAAACAGACCCATTTTACAGATACAGACTTTTTTTATAGTATAGACATACATTATTTGTTCAGTTTTTTTCCCTCTTTTCTTGTCCCTTTTCTTGTTTTTTTCCTCTGTACATCTTTTTCGTTTCATATTGGCAGTTTGCTTAGCTGACTTTTCATGCTGTCTCACAAGGAATGAAAGATTTTTTCCAATCTCTAAGATCATTCTAACTTAGCTGATGGCTCCTTCCTGTATTTCGAAAAAGGCGAAAGCTAAAGTAAATTACCCAGTCCTTCTTTTCACTGTAGATAGGCCATGATCTGCTTATCTGTTCTCTATTTTTGATTTAAATGAAATCATAGCTGCATGAATCATGACAGCAGACAAGAGAGAGGAGAGCAGGAGGCAGGGTTATGAATCTACTTGCTCTGGAGTGCAGAGTTCTGTCCTTTGATATGTTGTCACCAAAATCTCCATTAAGAGAAAAAAAGCCACTAGATTAGGCTCTAAGTGTTTTTTTTTAATATTAAATAGAGGTCTGAAAAATCGCTAAGTATAGTGACAAAAGCTCATATTTGTTTGTTTTCAAATGATTTGCTGCTGTTTGTTTGGACCTTTCTGCACATGCACAGCAAATGGACTGATCCAATGTGGTGGACACTGAAGGGGGGCGCCTGAGACACACATAATATTATAAGCATTCTGATGGAATTTTAACGAAAACATAATTAATGTGGACAAGTAAGTAATAGCTGTATTAATCCTACATGTAAAAGTAGTTTTATGGGGCCCCCAGGAACAGGGCTCTATGCAAGTGCCTAGTTTTGCCTACTGGTAAATCCGCCCCTGGGGGGAAGATGCAGCAGGAGATCGACAGGCGGACTGGTGTTGCGTCTGCTGTTAAGCGCGTTGTGGTAAAGAGAGAGCTGAGCCAAAAGGCAAAGCTGTAAATTTTACTGGTTGATCTACGTTTTGTACCATCATCTATAGTCATGAGGTTTGGGACATGCGTGAAAGAACAAGATCTCGGATACAAACTGTCGAAATGAGTTTCCTCCATAGTGTCTCTGAGATCTCCCTTAGAGATCGGGTGAGGAGTATACACTCTGTGTATACAAAATGATGATAAAGTTTGTCTCAGTCTAAGGAGCTCAGTTATTTCGGTGAGGACTTAGAGTAGAGCCCCTTCTCCTCCACATCGGGAGGAGCCAGCTGAAGTGGCTCGAGCATCTGGTTAGGATGCCTCCGGGACATCTCCCTGGTGAGGCATGTTCCAGGCACATCCCACCAGGGGGAGACTCAGAGGTGGACCAACAACACGCTGAAGGGACTATGTTTCTCAGGTGGCCTGGGAACCCCTTTGGATTCCCCCATAGGAGCTGGCCCAAGTGGCTGGGGAGAGGGAGATCTGGGCCTCCCTACTGAAGCTGCTTCCCGCGCAACCCAACCTCGGATAAGCGTAGGAGGATGGATGGATGGATGAACTTGTTCAGTTATGCAATATTTGTCTAACAACCTTTTTAGTGCTACGCTCTTATGCTGTGCTCACATCAAATGCCTTTTAAGCATCAAAAAGGTGTCCAACGCCTCAGCTTGGATGCATATGCATTTTGAAGTCAAACAGAAATATCCCAGATCAAACACACCTACATTAAATGGTGCTTTTTTGGAAAAAATAACACATCTAAAAGGGGCAGGATAACAGCCCAAGAGGACTGGAGTGTGGTGCTCTGAATGGTCTATGATCCGGGCGTTCAGCTACTCTATTTCTTGCAATCTAAAAAGTGGTTTGGCTTTATTTGGTTTGATGAGTGAGAAAAAATAGTTTTATAATATTTTTTAACAGGAGGGTATACCTCAACATCATCTATGCAGTCGGTTCATCTGGATTATAATCTGGTTTAAATATTCTATTCTTGTTTGTAGATGGGGGGAACAGTGCTTGCCAGGCTGTAATGAATTTTCTGCTGGCTTTGGCAGTGGCTGAAAGCAAATATAAATCTTTTTTAGGTTTTTGGTTAAAAAGGTTTCAACATTTTCAGATAAAGTAGGTATTTAAAAAACGTTTCGCCACAGTGTAAGAAGACACATTTTTAGTAGAATGATTATATTAATAGAATAATAATGTGTGTCCTAACGTTAGACTATACCTTTGAATAAACTTATAAAGACAATATCTACCTTTTTTGTTTGTTGAAATAATTGAAAGTAACATAGTGATCTCCCAGTCAGCTCCTGGATTAATTTATCTGACTGGTTGTTTAGATTTTACATATCTAGCATTGGCCCCTCCAGTGGCACCTGCTGGCATTAAGCAAATGTACCATGAGACATCTTGAAGCCCCTTGAGGCATGTCCACCATTGACCTTGCATGTAAACCTTGATGCTCAACCATGTACCAAATGATACATGTTAGTACATGCTCTCCTAATCACAGTACAGATACAATCAGGTAAAGATGCAGTTCACTCAGACACAACTCCACTGCATTAATGGCCACTGAACAAGACAAAGCATTTTTTTCTTACTCTGTTTTTTCTACACATCGTTGCTTTTCTTTTTATTACACTGTACACTGAACTTACGCCCTGCTTCGCAGATGCATGAGAATCTCATTATTGTCTGCTGGTGACCCTGTAATATTTGTCCAGGAGCTCTCAGCCATCTTCATCATGGCTTTGTAGAAGGCATGATCCGCATAGCCCGCAAGGAGATTCACTCTCCCGAACATCTGCACACAACAGGAAGTTGGTTTAATGTTCAGGAATTAGGCAAAGGTTCCTAATCAAAGCATTTCAAGGACAAGTTTTTTTTCTTAATGTCTTTTAAACACATTTGAAGAAAAAGTGGCATTCATTGCGTTGTAAGAACATTGCAAATAATATTCTAAAAATAGACATTAGATCTTGAGAAACAAAAGGCATTTCAAAACCATAAAAATCCAATAGATTTGTATATTTCAAAGAACAAACACAAGACAACCCCTGGTATTTTTTTTTTTTCACAGATTTGGAAATCACAGTGCCTTAGTAAGCTCTGACACCCAGCCTAAAGCCTGCAACAGTTCTAAGGTTCAGTTCTCCTTAAACAATCAGAAGAAATATTGAATGTAGACTATGTTGCAAAAAAGACAGAAGCCTTTTTTTTTTCAAAGAAAACATCAAGGCCCGGCTAAAACCCATGCTAATGAAACCAAAAATTAAAACAGCTGGGAAATAACTATGAATGGTTTTGTCATTCAGTCACAGAAATAAAGAACAATAGCAAAATATAGCAGTGACATAATAAAATTCTCAGGTTAGGTTTCTTCCAGAAGAAAAATGAAAAAGGTTTTTAAACACAAATCTAAACATTGTATGAAAAAAAAAATTGTAGAGTTTGCCATAAAAATTGAGAGATAAAGCACACAATAAAGGCACATATACCTGTGTTGCAGCGGGGACTGAATAATTAAAACCAGAAAAGAAATAAGCGTTCATTCTAATGCTTGCTAAAATAAATAAATAAATAAATAAAATAAATGAGAGGGCTTTACCACAGATGGGTCGGCCAGAGACTGGGGAGAGACCAGTGGCTGGCATTCTTCAGGTGTTTCAGCTGAGCTGCTCAGAAGCAGCAATGCAAATAGCAGACTGCTGAGCCACAGGTTCATGATGACACTTAAGCTTCAGAGGGAATCTGTTGGAATAATGGAGAGAAAAATAATTCAGAAGTAACTTACTGAATTCTATAAGAGATTAAGGGGAGACACTCGACTTTTATACAATCTGATGTGTAAGAAGTCTGTGGACTTTCAAACTGCATAAATGTTTGTTTAAGTTTTTCCTTCTGGTATTTAAAAACAAACAAAAAGCAAATAAAGACACATTGCTCATTGCTGGGAAACTCGCCTGTTTTGTACGCCCAAATGGAAAAGCAAATAACTGAGGAACTGAACTGTAAGCCCAAATTACCTTGTAGTTCCTGAATATATACATGAAAATTGGGTGAGTAAAACACCCAAGCTGCATTAAGCCCAAGCTGCATCAGTTCAAACATGACTCAAAGTTGTTTTTTTATTCTTGAACATAATACGTCTTTTTTGAACAGCAGTAATAAAGACATGCTTGCTTGTTGTGGCTGCTTTGTCATGCTACATTTTTGACATGCTGCTATATTTGTGCTTTGCTGCTCACTATGTCCATAAAATGAACCACGTGGTTGAATTGTGGAGAATCTAAGCTTTCCAACGATGTCTAACATGTCTATATTGTAACCAGTTGATTGCATCAACTCACTCTAACGAACGCAATCCCTCACACTATGCATGCTTGTAGCGACAGTGGAGAGGGAAAACTCTTAAAGCCTTAAAAGTAGACAGGGTGTCTGCCTCACGGACTAAAACTGGTAGTTTATTTCAACAGGAGAGGAGCCTGATAACTAAAGCATCTTTCTCCCATTCTACTTTTTTCTTTATATTTTCTAGGAACTGCTAGTAAACCTGCAGATTGAGAGCGAAGTGCTCTGTTAGGAACAAAAGGAACAATCAGATCTCTGATATAAGATGGAGCTTGGCCATTTAAGGTGATTTAAGGCCATTTTTATGTGAGAAGGAGGATTTTAAATTCTATTCTTGATTTAACAGGAAGCCAATGAAGAGAAGCCAGGATAGGAGAGATATGATCTCTCTTTTTAATTTTCATCAGAACTCTGGCTGCAGCATTTTGGATCAGCTGAAGGCTTTTAACTACAGTTTGTGGACTTCCTGATAGTAAAGAATAACAATAGTCCAGCCTTAAAGCAACAAATGCATGGCCTAGCTTCTCAGCATCACCCCTTGACAGGATATTTCTAATTTTTTTGTAATATTTCGCAGATGAAAGAAGGAAATTCTAGAAACCTCTTTGATATGGGATTTAATTGAAAGATCCTGATAAAAAAACAAAAAAAACACCAAGATTTTTTACTTTATTATATGAAATCAGTTTAATCCCATCCAAATGAAGAGACTGACTAATCAGCTTATTTTTCAAAGACTCTGGTCCAAAGACTATAAATTCTGCTTTATCAGCATTCAGGAGCAGAAAGTTAAGAGTCATCCAGGTTTTTATGTCTTCGAGACATGCCTGTAATCTATGTAATGGGTTAGCTTCATCTGGATTTATAGACAGATATAGCTGGTATCATCAGCATAACAGTGAAAATTATTCCCACGCTGTTTAATAACTCTACCGATTGGGAGCATATATATAGTAAAGAGAATTGGTCCTAGCACTGATCCCTGTGGTCCCTTTGAGCATGAGAAAGATTTGTCATTAACATGAACAAACTGAAATCGATCAGATAAGATTTAAACCAGTCTAGTGCTGTTCCTTTAATTCCAACAAAATATTCAAGACTTTCTAAGAGAATATTATGATCAACTGTATCAAATGCAGCACTGAGATCCAACAACATTCTACAAATCTATTATTTGAGTCATTAGCAACTTTCACCAGAGCTGTTTCAGCACTACGATGAGCTCTAAAGCCAGACTGAAACTCTTCAAAAAGTTCATTATGGTGTAAGTGATTGCACACTTGTTTGGCCACTACTTTCTCAAGAATTTTAGAAAGGAAGAGGTCTATAATTGACCAAGTCATCTGGGTCAAGAGACAGTTTCTTAAGCAAAGGTTTAATTATAGCAACCTTAAAAGTCTTTGGTACATATACCTGTAACAGAGATAGATTAATCGCATCAAAAATGAAGGAGGAGATCACAGAGAACACCTCCTAAAATAAGCTGGTTGGAACAAGTTGAAGGCTTAACCCTCTCAGCACTGTTAAGCTTTTCCTTTGTCCGGTCTTATAAAACAATCAAAAAGCAAATAAAGACACATAAATAAAGATATCTGATGGGTTAAGGATTATCCTTTGTCCCATCTTAAATGAATCTCCTTCCAGTCCCACATTAACAACATCACCCGGTCTGCCTACTTCCATCTGCGTAACATCTCTCGTCTCCGTCCCTCCCTCACTCCCCAAGCTACCGCCATTCTTGTTCACAGTCTCATCACTTCATGCATCGATTACTGTAATTCACTTCGCTTTGGCCTTCCAAACAAGTCCCTCCAGAAACTACTTCTCCTCCAAAACTCTGCAGCAAGCCTGATCACTCGGACCCCCATTTCTCATCATATCACTCCCATCCTGCAGCAACTCCACTGGCTCCCCATCAAACAAAGAATCATCTTCAAACTCCTCCTAACTTCATTCAAGGCCCTCCACAGCTTGGCTCCATCTTACATCTCAGATCTCCTTCACGTTAACACCCCCACCCACTCCCTACGATCCTCCCACACCTTCCAGCTCTCCGTTCCCTCGGCCCGTCTGGTCACAATGAGGAACCGGGCATTTAGTCTCTCTGCTCCCCACCTCTGGAACTCCCTCCCTGCGGATCTCCGTACTCGGGACTACTTCCCTCTTTTCAAATCCAGAATCAAAACTTTCCTGTTCAGACAGTCTTATCCCATCTAGTTCATATGCATCACTCCAATGTTGTTTTCTTTCTTTTCTTCCTTTGGCTTTATTTTACTTCCTGCTGTTTTGTTTTCTGTGGCATCTTTATGCTTGTACTTTTTAGCTTCCTATTTTTAATGTTTTATCTGCCTGTACAGTGTCCTTGGGTGTTTTGATAAGGCGTTTTCAAATAAAACGTATTATTATTATTATGCTATATACTGGGTTTTTTTTTTTTTTTTGCTTTACTGATTTTGTTTCAGTCTTACAGATTGCATTTAAAGCATCTAAGGCATTTGTTTTGGCTTATAACCCATATAGAGATTGATTTCTTGATCCAAAGTCTAACTCCACCACCCATTTTTTCACTTAACCTCTTAATATGCACCTCATTGCTGGGAAATTCGCCTATTTTGCACGCCCAAATGGAAAAGCAAATAACTGAGGAACCTTCAGCCCAAATTACATGTTTGATCCCCTACAGAGATCGATTTCTTGATCCAAAGTCTAACTCCACCACCCACTGTTTTACTTGACCTCTTAATATGCACCTCATTGCTGGGAAATTCGCCTATTTGAAACTGTAAGCCGAAATTACATGTTTGATACATTATTTGAAAGCAAACACCTTGTAGTTTCTGAATATATACATGAAAATTGGGTGAGTAAAACACCCAAGCTGCATCAAGCCCAAGCTGCATCAGTTCAAACATGACTCAAAGTTGTTTTTTTATTCTTGAAAATAATACGTCTTTTTTGAACAGCAGTAATAAAGACATGCTTGCTTGTTGTGACTGCTTTGTCATGCTACATTTTCGACATGCTGCTATAATTGTGCTTTGGTGCTCACTACGTCCATAAAATGAACCAGGTGGTTGAATTGTGGACAATCTAAGCTTTCCAATGTCTAACATGTCTATAATGGTAAACATTTTACCAGGCTAATTTTCATGCATTCTGAGTTATTATTTGTAAACGCTTTAAAACGGTGGGTTCTGAGAGGTTCAATTCAATTCAGTTAAGTTTATTTATATTGCACCAATTAACAACATGTCATCTCAAGGCACTTTACAGTTCACCAGATCATACAGTCAAATTGATCCAGGGTTTTTTCTATCTAAGGAAAACCAGTTGATTGCATCAACTAACAAATGCAATACCTCACACTAAGCATGCTTGTAGCGACAGTGGAGAGGGAAAACTCCCTTTTAACAGGAAGAAACCTCCAGCAGAACCAGACTCAGTGTGAGCGACCATCTGCTGAGGCCGACTGGGGTTCAAGGAGGCAGAAGCAGTGATACAAAAAGCATCTGTAAAAGGCGGCCCTGTCCAGGAAACACACAGCCAGGCAGACGAGCTCCGAGCCAGCTCCCATGTCAGAGGATGAAGAGAGCACTTCCAGCAAGTCACAGTCAGAGAAACAGGACTAAACTGGAAAAACAGACCAATCTCCAGCATCTATAAACAAATGTGTTGATGGAAGCAGCACAGCTGATAGTTCTCTCCAGGATGGAGTCACAGCCAAACAGGAACAGACAAGGCAAAGCTACTATAAGAAAAGGCAGAGAGAGCAGAATGTTAGAGATTGAACTAACAGATTCTGCAGAGTGGGAGAATAGAGATAGAATGAAGAAGAATGATGAAATGGGGGTCCCTATGTCCTCCTGAAGTCTAAGCCTGTAGCAGCATAACTATAGAGATAGCTCAGGATAACCTGAGCCACTCTGACTATAAGCTTTATCAAAAAGGAAAGTTTTAAGCCTAGTTTTTAAAGTAGACAGGGTGCCTGCCTCACGGACTAAAACTGGTAAATTCTCAATTTAAATTCTATTCTTTAGATAAGGATTATCCTTTGTCCCATCTTAAATGAATATACTGGGTTTGTTTTGTTTTTTGCTTTGCTGATTTTTTTTTCTGTCTTACAGATTGCATTTAAAGCATTTAAGGCATTTGTTTTGGCTTATAACCCGTACAGAGATTGATTTCTTGATCCAAAGTCTAACGCCACCACCCACTATTTTACTTAAATTTTTTTTGGAAAATTTGTACAAGGAATTTCTGTGTCCCCTTTTTACTAACTGCAAAGTTTAGTTTGGTCTGTAGACATCGTTCTTGCCTGTTCTCTACCCATTATGTCTTCAGACTCCTGCTGGATTCTGCCGGATCCTCAACCTTGAAATTTCTTCCTGGAACCAACCTGGATTTCCCTTTTGCACCTGTTCGGATCTCTGATCTTCTGGTGCGTACTCCAATGAACCTCTCAAGTCT